GTGGACCTTGGGTCGGGATTGTCAAACCATCTGTTTCCAACGTCAAGACTGCACTTTGATGCTTAGGTTTTATTTCGATAACGCTATATCGTCACTCAATGTTGATGACACATAATAGAGGGAGGATTAGAATTAGAGAAGGCGGAGTTGGGAAGTAAAAAATATGAACGTAATTTATCATAAATTGATTGAGTAGTATTGCGTGGGCGTGGCTTGTGTTGACACTCACTTCAGAGTTGCATCAACAGATGGCTGCTGTACTGCTGTGTGGGTTGAAACGTGTTGAGCATGTTGCAACACAGTGATCTAATAGCAGGTGTTTTCTGTTAGCGTCAGAGAGGGCCCATGTGTAGACCCAACCAGCATTCAGTGAAATGTGAGCGCGGGTCATTGGTTCATGCGAGGTCCACTTGCAGGATTTATTTCCTGAAGGTTCAATCCCATCTGACTGTCTTCATCACCCTTATTTGTTGAAAGTTCTTGGAAATGTTTTCGTCGCTCATTTAACTGGCCATAGATTCAGCCTCTAACAAGTAGCCTGTGTCTTTGTGTTTTCCACCCTGCGTTATGACAAATCAACCAGGCTCTGAGCTGAGGGAACAAAGCCACAACCATCCCCTGTTTGAAGCCACAGAAGACGCATGTAATCACATATGGTTAGTCACTACTATAACGCCAGCTGTGAACGTCTCAGCTGGATGTGGACAACTTTGAAACAAAGTGAGGCCAGTGTGAGTCGGCTCTTTAACCGGAAGGATCAGCTGGCCCTCCTCTTCATGCGGCTTTGTAGAGCTGACGGAGTTGGCTCTGAACCACAGAGCTCGTCTGTTTGAAGCCAGCGTCCTGCTGTCTCATGGCAGCCCACTGTCCATTCCGCAGCACATGCTTCTCCCATGATGCTCGTAGTGAGTCGGTCTGGATTTGTTACAACGGCTACCAGGACATTTGGGCAGAAATGCCTCCTGGGTAAAAAAATAAAAATAAAGACAGCAGGGAAAGGCGGTGTTCTGCTTTTGTGTGTGTATTCTTATATTTTTGTATTTAATGAGACCAAATATGGGCCACCAATTCTGTTAGGCATGGGTTTAAGGTTAAGATAAAAGCTAGAATAGCTTTAGGATGTCTGGTGAAGGTGAGGGAATGACTGAAGGCGTGTGTGTGTGCGTGTGTGTGTGTGTGTGTGTGTGTCAAAGACCTTTACAGCAGCAATAAGTTCCATCCAAACCATCTCTTCCTTTTCAAACCAAACCTGAGCTCCCAGATATCTGGCTGTCTTTGGCTAAAGAAATAACATCTCCATCCCCCAGAGCAGGCACACACACACATTACTACTTCCACCCCCATCTATTGTTCAGACGGCTCCCCTCCAGCTATGGGACAGTGGGGACGGAGGGAGATCAGGCTGTAGAGCTACTGTAAAGTATCCAGCCTCTCACGTTTACTGCTCACACAACACTCATTGAACCACGCGTCTGTATTTATTAAGGCCATGTGAAATGGTTCTGATGGTGAAACCCTTGGTCTGGTTTCTTTGTTCACTCCTACATTAATGTGGAACATGGATTAGTAGTTTACTGCTGTTTACTGCTGTCCCCTCTCTTATTCTGGCCATGTAAAGGTTTCAGCTATTTTTAGAGATCTGAAATAGTTTTTCTTTTTCTTTTTAACAAAACCTTCTACTATAATTATTTCCATAGTTGATTAATCGGTTGATTCTTTTTTGGATTATTGGTTTTGTATTAGAATATCAGGAAATAGTGAAAAATGGCCATCAAAATCCCCTAAAATGTCTTCAGATCGCTTTACAGTCTGAAACCCTAAAACGTTTACTGGACTATCACATGAGACAGAGACAATGAGCAAGTCCTCACAACTGAGACGCTGGAACCAATCAATGTTAGACATCTTTGCAAAAAATATTACTAAAAACGATTATCAGAAGAACTGCTGATTTATTTCCTGTCAAGAGACTAATGGATTTATAGTTTCAGCTCTAAGGTTGATAAAGAAACTTAATGACTCCTCAGGAAAGTGTTCATGAAACTTTGAATCCTGTGAGAGATCATGGCCAGAAAGAAAACATATTTCAAATGTAATAGGATGTTCAAACTCTGCTCTGAATCCAGGATACTTAAACAATGGTCCTGATGGAAAGCCCTTGATGCTATGGCTCACTCAACATTACCATAGATGTCTATAGAATGAACCTGCACCATGTCTTTCTAATGTCTTATCAGTGACTGTGTCCCATAGTTATCAGCCCATCTGACTGGATAGTAACAAAAGTCATAGAATTCTTTCTATGTGAATTCATCAGCTTAATTCTTCCAAAATAAAAGCCCCCATATATACGCTCTACAACAAAGAGAGGAAGTGCCTCCTCCAGCCCTGCTGCTTCCAACAGCAATCAATAAACAGCCATTGGGCAGTCTGCCATTGACAGACTTGTGTCTCATGCTGCTGCCAGTGAACGCTCCGTGCTAATGGGGCTTTTTGGAATCACTGCAGCTCTATAGACCATCTATTGATGCTTCATTGTGTCTGCTGCACAGTGCTCACTTTTCTTTTATGCCACACGCGGCGTGAAGTAGAGTTCAAGTGATACAGAGAGGAGGATAAGTTGATGACGGGTCAATGCTCGCTCAGTAATTCAGTCATGATATAGTGGGAAGTTTGGGAGGAGGAAGGTAGGAGACTTTTGAGGGAGAGAGGAAAGAAAATAGTGGGACAGAAAATAGAGAAGATGGTGGGAGATGTTCAAAATCAACCAGGTCATTTTAAAACATAATCCTTGTGAAATAGCAGTTAGAACCTCTTTAGAAAAGTGATGTTTTACAGAGTAAAACGGATTATAAGAATTATAAGAAATCGTGCATGGATTCCATTGCTCAGAAGTGGGCGTGGCTCAGGGAGCATGTGGAGCATTGTTAGATCAGGAGGAGGACCACAAGAAATCCATCAACTGGACCACAATGCTGATGTCCAAACATGGTGACACTCTGCTAGCTGCTGCAACCCACCAGCTATATACACCTGCCTATTATATATAGTACGTCCCAAATCCATTTGATTGGATGGGTTACTGTAACACCTCTTGGTGCAGGTGGAGTCATTAAAAATGAACGTACAAAGAAAACCTGAGGGAAAAAAAACAGGAAGAGAAAAAAAAGATGTGGCATAAACGGAGATTATTGAACAAATAATGGATGGAGACGGGATTAGAACTTCGAGAATGTTTCTTTTGTACTTTTAGGGCTGAAGTGATTCATGCCTGAAATCAGAAAAGTATTGACAATTATTTTCATCAGAGAATTGATCTGTAGTTTTCTTGATTAATCATAAAATGGCAGAAAATAAACTGACCATCACATTGTCTGACATTTTTACTTCAACAGAAAATAGTTGATTCCAGTTTTAGGAAGTGCATTGCATTCACCATATCATGAACTAGAGAATTGAATAGAATAAACTTTATTGTCCAGTCGAGGCAGGAAAATGATCTTTGGTCTCACCCAGGAATATATAAACACAGTAATCATTGGTCTGAAAACTCAAAAACATTGTATTATTGTTGATAGAATTCATTTACGATCTAATCCCAATTATTCTGAAAAAATACATTTCTAAATTGGTGCAAGGTAAATCCGAGTCTGCTCATTTCAGTCGGGCTGTGGTGGAATCATTTACAGGTGTGTACACGGGATGATCTAGTTTAAACCAAACTATCATGGCAACAAGACGCAAACTAGTGAGAGCAAAAGGAAAGAATTCTCCCAAAGAGAGTCTTATGTTAGGCTAAGTTGTAAAATCGTTGCTCTGATGGCGATGGTTCATCTGGATTCTTAATTGACTGGTGTTCACGTATCCTTTAAGAATGGCCCACATCCAGTCCCTCTGCGGACAGAGAGCAGGAAGCAGCAGCAGCAGCAGCAGCAGCAGCAGCAGCTGCTGATGGAAACGCTCACCCAGTCTGGTCAGAGGTGGACGACTGTTCGCTTTGCCAAGATTCTGCCACAGCAGTGTGGCTTCCTCGCTCATGGTGTTCATGCTGTCATAAGGCACAAGATTACACAGAATGTAAAACCAAACTAAGAATGGGATTGGTGTCATTGGGTTAAGGTCGGCCTACGAAGTGATCACAGAAAGCTTGCATTACATGTCAGGAGACAGACACCTGGAACAAAAGATGCTCTATCAAGGGGTGTCATGGGAATTGTAGGATTGTGCTTGACCCACACTTAGTCAGGATATATCAGCCTCTGCTGCTTTGAGTTTGTGAAAAGTGCTATGGAAGTCCAACACTAACTGACTTGGTTAACCCTTTAACTTCAGGCTTTTCGAAGTCTGTTTTGTGGGGGTTGGACACATTTGTTTTTGATTCCATCAACCTCCATTCTTTGTCCTTTGTTTAGTCTTTGGCACTGAGGGGATTTATTTATTGTTAGATATTTTGGTGAAAGCTCTCATTCTTTGGCATATAATTAGTTCTATGGCATATTGCCATTATCTGACAGTTGACAGTGACAGGAAACATGAGGGGGGAGAGAGAGGTGAATGACACGGAACAACAGTTTCGATGGGTCGAAGTGGGGAAGTACATTACAGTACATGGTGTGCATGTTAGACAGCTGGAACACCCTGGAACACCCGTGCATCTAAGTTTTTAAAAAAACGAAACAAGCTTCATTCTATCTGAAGAATTTCCAGAACTTTCCAGAAATTCCGCTCCGGAAATCAAAAAGAGTTTGAATATCAAATTGTAATATTGCAAAATGTTCTGCCCCAAAACAATTGTAGTTATCATTTTCAGGAGCTTTTTGGTAATTCCCATCTCTAAATCAAGTGACTCCAATTCTGTTTTAGCGGTAGACCTTGAATATTATTCTTTCAGTCATTAGTGTCTACTAACAGATGTCTTCCTTTACTTTGTGCGGCATCAGTGTGAACACTATAGGAACTGATGGACCAGTCTAACGTTTGGTCATTTTGTGTCTTGTCAGATCTGTCGAAGAACCGGCTGTGTGAGCTGCCGGAGGAGCTTTGTCAGTTCATCTCTCTGGAGACGCTGAGCCTTTACCACAATGGGATGCGTTCACTGTCCTCCAGCCTGGGCAACCTCCAGGCCCTCACCTACCTCAACCTCAGGTAAGGCAACACCACGCTCACGGTCCAGGTCTATTCCTCTTATTCTATTGTTTGTGGAGTTACAGTTGTTAAAAACGGACCCGACGCACCCAAACTAACATTGTCACACACCGATGGTTCCGTCTCCTCAGCTCCTCTGATGGATAAAGTCCATCATTTCGATCAGCAGTTAAGTTCAAAATCAGTATGTTTTTCGGGGGTTTGTGGCGGAATGATGAGAAAAGAACAGACTGAGCCAAATGAAGGTACCAATAAACACAAGAAGAACCAATAATAACCTATAAAGTGTTTTGTAATTTATTATTGGGCTTTCTTTAGCTGAATCATTGAGTTTAGTCACAGCGCTGTAGACAGGTTTCCTGCTCTGTAGCAGTCTGCTGCGGTGGTAGGGGATGACTAATGTAGACTTTATACTTCATTTGGAAAAGCTGAAAATTAGTGCATCCAAAATGTAGGTCAAAGTTTAACCAGGCAGTTGGTCTGTAAAAACTCAAATGAATAAATCCCAAGTTGTAATACATTGTGATTATCCTTTAAAAGTTGTACTTGAACACACCACAAAGACATGAGTCAACACTGACACAGTGTGCATGAGGCCTCTAAATACACGAGAACTGCATCTGAGCTTCAGTGTTTGTTTATGGTGGAGATGAAGACAGGCCGCACAAATCCTTTCCAAACAGTCTTACAACACTGTTGCTAGGAGACCAGAGAAGTCCTCCAGGTGGCTGATACAGGCAGCAAAATTGTATCAAATGTACTGCACAATACAAAGACACCAACGACTAGATGTAGCTGCACATACTCTATAGGCTCGCTCTGTGACAACAATTCACTGTGATTGAGTTTGTGATCTGGAGTGAGTGACTGAGTGAGTGACTGACTATCAGTCAGTCCCACGCCCCCTGAATGACCTCACTTTGTGCTCTTGTCTCCACAGTCGTAATCTTCTGTCCAGTTTACCCTCGTCTGTGTTCCAGCTTCCCCTCCTGAGAGTGCTCATAGTCAGCAACAACAAGCTGTGTTCACTGCCCGCCTCCATATACTCACTCACACACCTCCGACAGCTGGTATGATGCACACACAACCTCATCAACACTATCTTTCTGTGTATAGACCTCATCAAGAGGCCTCGTCATAGACTGAATACAGAGATCGCACACTGACCAATGACAGTATACTATCTCTACTGTCTCTCAGGATGTTAGCTGTAACGAGCTGCAGTGTTTGCCAGCAGAGCTCGGCCAGCTAGAGTGTCTGAGGGACTTGAACCTGAGGAGGAACCAGCTCACCACTTTGCCTGAAGGTAAAGACACCACATCCTCGACCATCCACTGACCGCACACCTGCTCTAGTTATCTCTTTAAAACCCCCAGTGTGACCAGCTCAGCTCATGTTGCTCCTCTATGAACCCAACTAACCCCAGAATCCTCAGCAGGGTCTTAGTCCAGACCCCATTACACAGTGTATCATTGAATCAGCGCATCTATAGCAATAGAATAAGTTAACTAACACCCTAACCAGGTTATAGCTCTCTGTACATTATGGATTGTAATGTAGACTCTCTAAAAGTTAGATGGTAATTACATCATTATTGTGAGCTATCGATTGTTGACATTAGAAGTATTGAACTTCTTTTGATTGCAAGTCTAATGGATCTTACACCATTAGTGCCTCATTAGACAAGAAGCAGTGGACAGGAGATGCTGGCAACAGCTTTTTATAAATTCAAATGTGTTCATGTTTGAATTGTATTGTATGATGTACTGTAAGTATTTACTACATGGAGATCTAGCCATTGTTACATTAAAACTGTCTCTATGTGTACTGGTTAAAGTGAAGAGTGTAAGAGCTGTTATAGAATATGATGGACATATTTGTCCTGACACTTGATTGAAATAGTGTTTAAAATAATATAAACTGTTACTGTTACGCCTTAAATACAAATAAAGGCGTGTTAAAATGAAGGGCAGTGGAATTACCTGTACAGAAACGGCTCAGCACGGCTGCTCTCACTTTGTGTTGCCTGACAGCAAACTTCCACTCACTACTTCCAGGAGCCTCCACTCTGCTTGTTTTTGTTTATTGCTTTTAGGCTACGGTCAATGAAACTCAACCCTCTCATCCAACAGCCCACCTGGAAAGGACTTTTAAGATTTTCAATGTGAAACATGTGTGCAGGAGTTGCTGAAACATTACAAATAATTGAAATACTGACATAAGTTAAAGTGGAAGTAGAAAAACAATTACTGGAAGAAGTTGAAATCACAATTCAAGTTGTACTGAGAAAGTTGAAGTTAAAAGGTAACCTGTAGTTTCTAGAAGTGCTGCTGATATCTACCGTTCTTGTCTGTATCGTAGGATTCACACTCATTCCTGCCAATTGTTTCACACTTTTCTACCGATCAATAAGTGGCGGTAATGCGAAAGAAATGTAGCATAGAGCCAGTAAAGGTGGGAAAAAAAGAAGATTGCAAGTGAGTTAACATGTACTCTAACAATGCAGAATTTAAAATACTTAAGTTGGCTTTGCAAAGGTTTTATGAGGAAGTAAAAATGAGTTATGAATGTAACTACTGTTCTATGAATCCTGGATGACCTCCTCAGGCAGTGCCTAACACTGCAGGAAGGATGAAATGTTTGTTAAACCTCAAGAGTACACACAATGAATGTGAGAAACTGACTGTAACAGAACTTTTATTTGTCTACAAGAAAACCTTCACTTTTTAAAGGAGCAGCGTGTAGGGTTTAGTAGCATCTAGCGGTGAGGTTGCAGATTGCATCCAACTGAATACCCCTCCACTTACTCTTCCCTTTCCAAGTGTGTAGAGAACTACGGTGGCCTTCAGGTAACATAGAAATGGGAAAGACTCGAGAGCCAGTGTTTGGTTTGTCCTTTGTGGGCTACTGTAGAAACATGGTGGTGCAGCATGGCGGACTCTGTGAAGAGGTTCCGTCCCCTATGTAGATATGAAGGGCTCATTCAAAACGAAAACAACCATTCTTAGTTTCAGGTGATTAACACACTATAGATCCCCTAAATCCTACACACTACTCTTTTAAGTGTAATCACAGAAATGAGTTGAAGAGTCAAGTGTCGTCATAATCTTAGGGTTTAGGTATGTGTAAAAGAAATGAAGATTTTGTGAAGTGTCAACAAGTTGAGGCCCAAACGACCCTGAGCCTGAAACATCCCCTTTTCTTTGCACCACCCAGAAATATCCGAGCTCCCCCTTGTCCGGCTCGATGTGTCCTGCAACCGCATTTCCCACGTGCCCTTGTGCTACCGCCACCTCCGGCACCTCCAGAGCATCTTGCTGGACAACAACCCGCTGCAAATGCCGCCTGCGCAGATCTGCTCCAAGGGCAAATACCACATCTTCAAGTACCTCAACATGGAGGCCTGCAAGAGGAGCCAGGAGGAGCTGGAGAGGCACCTGAGGCCCACTGGCTTCAACAGCTGGTGAGGGAGGGAGCAAGTAACTGGAGGAGGAGATGGTCAAGGAGTAGGAGAAAGAATGAAACAAACTCATTTACAGAAGCTGTCTGGCAACTAGCTGGATATGCTTCATGGAAGTGCTGGGCGGATGGATAAACTATTGTCTGCCAAAAAATAGTTCTACCTCTGAACTTTAATGTTTGTGTACCCATTGAGAGATTGAGATGCAACGTATTAATCGGGAGCTATAGAGGAGTTGGTAGGTACATGTTTGTTTCCCCCTGCTTCCAGTCTTCATGCTAAGCTAGGCTAACCTTCTCATGAGCTCTACTTAACATACGTTGATATAGATCGCCTCATCTCACTCTCGGAAAGAGAAAATCAGCTTGTTTCATAGAATGTCAAACTATTAGTAGGAGAGTGTTTCATGGAGGCTCTCTGTGTAGTCATGGGATCTTACCTCAGTGGGTTGGTTTATAGACCGTGGAATCAAAGGCAGCCAGTGCTTTTGTCCTCACAATTCTGCTTCAGACTGAGTTTCACAATAACGGATGGTAAAAACTAAAGTGGCTTCAGTCTTATAGGTATTGTACCTTTTTATTTGACAGTAAAGCAGGTAGCTGACACCTGACTACAACATTAACACAATTCAGAAAGAGTGTTGATGGTAATGGCAACGTGTTGCATTGCTGACATTTATTTAAGTGACAGTTGGACATAAGTGCTTTTTTTACTGATAGCGGTAGCTACTACAACGAGTCTTTAAAGGATAATGGTGTTGTGGTAATAACTATTTTTCACCATCACAACATGCACACACTCTTCTGCCAAAATAGGAACGAAGTGACCATGAGGTGAGAGGATGAATGGCAAGAGTTACAGTAAATGTAGAATAGGAAAAGGGAAGATGAGTGACGACAGTGAAAGGGTTAACTAAGAGGAAGCAGGGTTTAGCAAATATCGGTAAACTTGAATGGACCCCTTTGAGCTGCCTAGGGAGCCATTTCCATGTAATAGACAGGACCAAGAACAGAGATAATATTAGACAATAGAGCTCTGAGTCTGATCCGGACCAGTCTTTTCCCTTTGGACTAATGAACCACCATGTAACTGTGTGTGTGTGTGTGTGTGTGTGTGTGTGTGTGTGTGTG